CCACGATTCTGCCTCTGAACTCTAAGGCACCATCGGCACCTAACTGGAAATCCTCGATGCCTCCGGTGCGAACCTTGGCCTCCATGACACGAACAAACTCGTCAGAAGCCTGCTCTCGCCGGATTCTCTCTCTCAACGTCGGCTGAAGCTGCATAGCACTGATACTGGCACTGGTACTCCCCGAAACAACTATGGGAAGTGCATCAATCGCCTGAAGCTGCATCCGAGCAAACTCATGAATCAACGGACTCTGCTGAGTAATAACGTACGTCAAGTCACCCTTCAACTTTCGGCTTAGGGCATCTGCGACGATGTTCGTCTTTCCAGGATGATATTGAATAGAGCAGTCGTAATCCTTAACAAGTTCAAGCCAACGGCGCTGCCTCATATTAAGCTCCTTCTGCGTGAAGATGTACTGCAGGCTCTTATGATCTGTAAAAATCTCGCAACGTCCGCCATAAAGATAATGTCGCCAGATCTTGAGAGCATGAACGACTGCTGCTAACTCCAAGTCATGCGTCGGATAGTTCTGCTCATGAGGCTTAAGCTGACGTGAAGCATACGCAACGACCTGGCCGTCCTCGGAAATACTAAAACTGGAATGTACAAGCTTAACTTAAAGCTTATACTTACTGATTACATGACTTGAGAATCCAGTAATTTAATACTGAATAAAAAACTTGATCTGAACTGAAGATACATCAATTCACAATTAAGTGAATTGTAGAATACTGCTTGTAATATCCCGATATGTTATCGGTATAAATTACGTTTAATTCCGATATAATAATGTTTATCGTTTATTATTTTAGGAATTAATTAAGTCCAGTCGAGATTACCGAAATCTATTTTCGGCGTTCTGTTTACGTCCGAAATAATTTTGGTAATTAAGTATTGTGTTTAATTGAATAATTGCACACATATCAAGTGATTAATGTAATTAATCACACGATTTAGCCTAATAGCCGTGAGCATTAGCATTTTTCTCCCAAATTTTGTTATAAGCCGTGGCATTTCTTAAGGTTAAGGAAATTAATTTTCCTTCTCATTCTAAGTATGTTACGTGGCAGCATAATATGTCTTGGATTGAGATTAGTCATCATATAATCATCCCAACTTAAAGCAAATGGCATAAGAAGAAGGTGACCACGCCATCACCCTCATCATTTCCATTTTCCTCTCGGCAAGTATAAAAGGAGTTTGAGCCGAATTTGTCCCCAATTCTCCTATAGCAAACTATCAGCATATCCCTCCCTAAACATAGCTCTATATTCAGCACTTTAGTCCCAATAAATTCCATAAATTCTCCATCAATTCGCACGGCCGAAGATAGTCAATCGCACGGCAAAGCTAGAAGCACCGCACGGAGCCCGTGAGGAAGAAGCCACGCTTATTTCCGTTTTCCGTCGAGCGAACTAAGAGGTAAATTCTCCTTCAGCGTATATCCTTGTTCACTCAGCCAGATTAAGGTTTAGGGTGCGGATTATATTGAGAAATTCTAAGAAAAACCGCACTTAAGTTCGATCGTACCTAAGTAGATCATAACCGAGTTAAGTTAATTTTGGTCCAGCAAGTCATGAGCAATTTTGTTTCTTTCAGCTTCTAATTAGAATATAATGTTCAGTTAAGGCAGGTCGGTCGAGGAAAGTTAGCGGTATGTTATGATTTGGCTCCCGGTGGTGGGTTGCGCTCCTCGCGCACGCCCCCGAGCCATTAATAGCGTAATGGTATTATCTTTCGGTATAGTCCAATTACTCTGATCAGTTTATGTTTATAAGTTCATATGAGTTCAATTTATAGTCAGTTAAACCATATTGGTTGAGAGAATTTTCAGATTAGTCGAGGTATTGGCCAACGGCCGTAGGCCTCGCATGTAGCGAGTAAAGCCACGGCC